GTTGAATTTACTGGTTTACATTCAAATTTTCTTGTTTGTAAATTACAGTTTTATACTGTCAAATTTACCGTTTTTGGCCATAAATGTGTTTAGTTTTTCTGTATTTAAAAAAAAATTATTCTGGCAACCACAGCTGCCAAAATTATTTTGTAAAAACTACAGAATTTCAAACATGTGCCTGTTGAAGAAACTGTAAGGATGGGAAGAAGTGTTATTTCCTGAGGGCAGAGGCGAGTTTGAGCATGAAGTGCTCAGAGATAAACTCAACAAACAAGCACAATCAGCTTTATTATGAGCAGTGAGAGGTGCAGCATATCTTGCTTTATAAAGCAGATTTATTTACAACCGTTCAGGGAGTTTTAAGAGGGACAGCGTGATAAAATGACTGTACCACACAGCCTCTTGTGGCCTACTACTTCTAATCACTATCTGCTGCTTATGAGCATATTGCTGTTATTCTAGTCTGATTGAGATTTACATTTACTTTTAGTCATTTAGCAGATGCTTTTATCCAAAGCCATTGACAAATGAGGACAATAAAAGCAGTCAAAACTAACAAAAGAGCAACAATATATAAGTGCAAATGACAAGTCTTGGTTAGTCTAACGCAGTACACGTAGCAAGGTGTGTATATATAAGATGCACTTATAGTTTTGTTTTAATATTTTGAATTAGTTTTTTTTTTTGTTTTGTTCACTTTGTTGTGTGCTTTTGTCATTTTCATTATTGCTTTGTTTTATTATTATTAGGCTATTGTTGTTTTTTAATATGTCTGTATGGATTTTATTAACTTTATTTCAGTTTTAAGTTTTGAATTTGAACCGCATCTGTCCATCTGGATTACAGCGCTTTAACAAACAAAGTAACACATTTGATGTGATGCATTTTTGTTCAGACACATATAAATGAAACAGGTCAGATTTCTGTAATAGAACTAATAAACTGAATGCGTTTTAAAGATACAATAACCAGTTTTATATATTTATCATCCAAAAATGTATTTAAGTCTCATACATTTGCCTGTTCCACAGCTAGTCATATTTTAACCATCTTCATACTTTAGAAATGAGTAATTGTAGCCTAATTGTTTTCACAATGAACCGATTTATGCTGATTCGAAGCAGTTTGAATAAATGCATTTTGAAAATATGATAAAATTAAATAGATTTAATACTAAACTTGTCAACTTTTCTGTTAATAGTTTCATTACTGACAAATATGCATCACATAGTAACTTTATTAGTATATGTTTAAACTGTGTAATCCAAATGGATGGACACTTTATATGCAATTAAAATACATAACTGTCCAATTTAGGCTATGAAACAGTGAAGAGACAACAATATATCTAATTAAGGGGGCAAAATGTACTTAACTGTCATGAAAATAATGTCTAAAAAATATAGGTTCTTAAACATGCTTTAAAATTAAAAGGTTGCAAATTCATTTTCTTTATGCAAAATATAGCCTAATGTTTTTCTTAGATTTTTGGGTGAAACGTGACCTGGTGAATCATCTATCTATCTATCTATCTATCTATCTATCTATCTATCTATCTATCTATTCTGTCTGTCTGTCTGTCTGTCTGTCTGTCTGTCTATCTATCTCAATTCAATTCAAAAATTGCTTTATTGGAAAGATACAATACTGCCCCCTCTCCTAATACTATCTTTATTTGTTCTGTTTCACTAATGGCTGTAAAGTTCTTTATTAAGTGGGTGAATCTGTTGAAGTAGAGGTTTCTTATGGATCTGTATTTTTGACAGTGAAGGAGGAAGTGCGTCTCTGTCTCGATCTCTCCTGTCTCACAGTGAGCACACACTCTCTGCTCTCTGGGTAACCAGATAACATCTTAGAAGTATTAAACTAACACATTATATCATGTGAACATTTGATACCACAGTCTTTAACTTACATAGAAACACACATAAATACTTCTGATCACGGATCATAAATACCACGGATTCATTTAGTCTGTCTGTCTATATATCTCTGTCTGTTTATCTATATATCTCTGTCTGTCTGTCTGTCCATCTCTCTCTTTATCTATCTATTCATCTCTCTATCTGTCCATCCATCCATCTATCCATCTTTCTCTCTCTCTCTCTCTCTCTATCTCTATCTATATATCATTCTTACTATCTATCAACTGTGGCAATAATACTTAAAAACTTTTGACAAAAACAGTGAAGAAAAATGAAGAGAAAAGATCAGCAACATTTGATCACACTGAGATTCTGCTTTTTACACAAAGAAACTGCAGCACAGATGTTGAAACAGTTTTCTGTCTCATTACTCTCTGCTGGTCTGTCTGTCTGGTTTCTTATACGTCAAGCAGAGCTGCAAAAGTCTGTAAGTGCAGTCTGAGTTTTGCAGTGGGGATTGTTGTGTGTGTGTGTGTGTGTGTGTGTGTGTGTGTCAGTGGCGGATGTGTACCAGCAGTGGTGTGGACCCTGCCGCGCCGTTGTCAGTCTCTTTAGAAAAATCGAGAATGAGCTGGGAGACGAGCTGCTGCATTTTGCCACAGTACGATGAGCCGCTCTGGAGATTAGATTGCACACAAACAATCATTCTAAATGTCGACATTTCTGTCACGCAGTCTTATCATCCCTGCAGGCTGAGGCTGATGGGATTGAAGCTCTGGAGAAGTACAGAAGGAAGTGTGAGCCCACCTTTCTGTTTTATGCGGTGGGTCTGAAACTGAATGCAAGTTAAAATAGGCAAATAATACATGGGTACATGACGCAAAACCTGTTAAGGAAACAGACGTTAATTCTTAATTCAGTTTTCACTCCAAAATAAATGAACAAAAGAAGAAATATTTTGAACAAAAAAAAATATATTTTGCATATAGACAAATAGACTGCATTCAAATTGTATGCATTATTCAGCATAATACACAATTATATACAATTCAGCACATTTTACCCAAATCTCATCATACTGTGATGGGATAAAACTATTAATATATATCATTTAAATTGTAAAAGATTTATATATCATAGAGGTATCAGTTGCATTGCTATTAATTTATGCCGATATAAATAAAATACTGTTTTAAAGTAATAGAGTTTAATGAGAGTTAAAATAATTGTAATTATTTTAAAAATAATTTTCAAAAGTAAAACATCTGGATGCATTATAATAATTTACATTTCGGGGAAAAGTGTGCTTAATTGTCCTGGAAATAATGGGAAACAATGGAGAAGAAAAAAAAAGAGTAAACAAACAAACAAATAAAAATGAAATAGTCCTAAAGCTATTGAAGCTTATTTGAGCCACGGGGAAAACAAATTAAAAAAGGTAATTCTGACTTCTTATCTCATAATTCTGTCAGACATGAACTTAAACAGATATAAACTTGCAACTGCAAGAGAAAAAAAATGTAGTAAGATAAAAAGTCATCAAGTTTAATTTTTTTATTCCATGGCGAGAAAAACAAAAACAGAATTGCAAGATGTAAATTCTGAATTCTGAGAAAAAAGTCTGAATTGTGAGATACTCAGAATTCCGGGAAAAAGTTAGAACTGTGAAATGTAAACTCACAATTGTAAAAAAAAAAAAAGTCAGAATTCTTAGATAAAAAGTTGCAATTACCTTATTTATACTTTTATTCCGTGGTGGAAATAAGCTTCAGTGGAAAACAGGCTTAATATTGAAATATGTGCTATTGTGAAAGTGACTTGTTGCTGTGAGATGGTGTTCACACCTGATCTGTTTGCTGGACATGATGGGCTGGTGTTGTCATGTTGTAGGGTGGGCAGCTGGTGTCTGTTCTGCGGGGACCAAATGCTCCTCTCCTGCAGAGGGTGATACAAGAAGAGCTGAGCAAAGAGAAGAACGTCCTAGAACACGGGGCGGCACGCAGGGCGGTGAGTTACACCACACACCTGCCGTTATTACTGTGTGGACAACAGATGACGCCTGAATCTGGATGAAAAAGATTTGGGAAGAAATTATGGAAATGTAGTCCAGTATGAGGTGCAATCTACATATATATGCATGTATCATTTCATTTCAAAGCACGAAAGAAACTTTTTCTCAGATTTGCGTGATATAAACTCACAATTGCGAGTTATAAAGTTAGAATTGTGAGATATAAACTCGCAATTCTGAGAACATATCAGTCTTTTTTTTCTCCTTAAAATTGGACTTTATAACTCGCAATTCTGAGAAAAAAAAGTAAAAATTGCGAGTTTATATGACAGAATTCTGAGATGTAAACTCGCAATTGCGAGAAAAAAAGTCAGAATTGTGAGATAACAAGTCGCAATTACCTTTTTTATTTTTTATTCAGTGGCGGAAACAGGCTTCCTTAGTGATGTCTGTTAATCAAAGAACAAAATAAAAAAGACGAAATCAATAACTTCTGTAGTTTTAAACTTTATCTCTAATTAATTTAGAATTTAGTGTTTGATAACTTTATTAAATTATATTTTCTATACTTGCTGAAGGGCACAGGTGACATTTAATGGGTTTATGTGAAGATTGTTTTAAGTTCACTTAAATTAGTTATTATTTTTTAAAGTTAAAGTTATGTTAAATTGATAGCTCTCAATTATGTGAGGAATAGTTCAAGTCAATTATTCCACTTATACTACGATTACCACACCTCAAGACATCGATCAGATGATATATTTCAAGGCATTTGTCTGGTTTTTCTACTTAAAACGCTATTGAGAGTATGATTAATTTCTTCCGCATCTCATCCAACTCCTCTGTTGCTGATTCCAAAACGTCATTTTAAACCTAGTAACGGAGGCTTGAGCCGTTGATAGCAGACTAAATGAGAGAGAGAGAGAGGGAAACTCTGTGAGTCTGAAATAATGATCACTTATTGTTGTCAGGGATCTTTTAATCTATATAATACATATAATTATAATGATTTCATTATATACAATTTAATTTAATAATTTAATAATAATCTAATTATATATTGTAATATTAATCATTATTATACATCAGAAATAATTATCCTTTATTGTTAGGGGCTTTTTAAAGAAGTAACATATTTCACTCCAGGTGACAGATGAAGGTTTAACTGAGGAAGAAGAGGTGAATGATGACATTAAGGATCACCCACATGATGAAGATGTGATTGGTAATGATTTTCCTTCATTAAACATCATTCCATTAATTGTAATTGTCCTGTTGGCTGAATTGACCTGCTCTGGTTTGTCTTAGTTCCTGCTAAAACGTCTTGCACAGTGGCAATAATCAAGCCAGATGTGGTGGCACACGGCAAAGCAGATGAGATTATTATGAAGGTAAGAGCTCAGTTTAAGGGATAAATGAACCCAAAAATGAAAGTTGTCATTATTTTTCACAATCAGTCATTTGAAACCTTTATGTGGTTAATATTTACACGTTTGGAACAATATGAAGGTAAAAAAAATGATGAACTTACATTGTTGCATCTTTTAAAGTTGATTATATTCATATGATATTTGCCGCTGAACACTATTTCTTCCTGAATGCATGTTTTGTTTCTAGATTCAGGATGCAGGTTTTGTGATTTTGGCCCATGAGGAGAGAACGCTGAGTGAAGCAGAAGCTCAAGACTTCTATCAACACAAAGCCGCAGAGGTAAAGAGAAGAATAAGTCTAAAAATAGCACGTTTTTGAATGTTTTTGCTGATGGTGTGTAGTGGCAGAATGCCAGTGTGTCATGTGAAGTGTGTGTGTGTTCTTCCAGCCTTACTTCCAGGAGCTCATCTAGTTTATGTCGAGCGGCCCGTCGCATGTCCTGGTCATTTCTAAGACGGAGGGCTGTGAGGACGTCATCCCAGCCTGGCGGGAATTCATCGGTCCACCGGATGTCGAAGAGGCCAGGAGGATGCAGTCGGAGAGGTACTTCATTCCCAGGAAAATAAATATATAGACTTTATGTAGGAGTGACACATGAACATAAGCAGTCCCTCTGACATTTGCATTATGGTAATGCAAAGAAAGATCTTGTTCAAAAATCCAAATCTCAAATCCAAATCACATTAAATAAAAAAAAATTAAAATATCTGAAAATAACTAGAATAAATTTAAGCTGAAGTACTTAAAATTACTAAAACTGAAATAAAAATAAAGCTAAATAGAAACATAAAAAAACAAATACTAATAAATATATATAAACTTATATCATCATTTATTTAAATTACAATTAAATAAATTATAATACATGTAATTTATTTTAAAAAAAAGAATATGAAAAGACGGATGTTTTTTAAATAAGTTATTAAAAAGTAAAACTCTCAAAATTGTGTTGTGTCAGTCATACATAATAGCATGGTCTCTCTGCGTAGGTCTAACATAGAGTCTCAGTGATTCCCTGATGTGTGTATAATGTAATTTTGTAATTAAATATAATCTAAAAGTGATACGAGGGCGTTGCGTTGTCGTTCCATATTGTGCTCACAGATTTGAGCTCTAACAGTTATAGCACAACACATCCTGTGTGGACTCCTGCCTCCCTCCCTCTGCCCTGGCCGAGAACCAGCAGTGAGACCATCTGCTCTTCTCTTTCTCTGCTTCTCCACCCTTCCATCCATCCATCCATCCCTCTCTGGCCGCTCTCTGTGCTTCATCTTGCGGGCTCAGTACGGCACCGAGACTCTTTTGAACGCTCTACACGGCAGCAGCGACAGCGAGCAGGCCAGCAGGGAGCTGGCGTTCTTCTTCCCCAGCTTCAGGATGGCGATGGCGGACTCGGGCTCGGAGCGGGCCGGGCCGGAACAGGAGCATGTGGAGAGGACGCTGGCGCTCATCCGTCCAGACGCTGCCAGGGAAAACAGAGGCATGTGCCAACATTACGTTTACATGCGCAGACAGATACTCCTGCTTTAAACTAAACTAACTAACTCACAGACTGTCAGTTAAAAGTTTGGACACACTTGACTCATTTCTCATGAACTTTTGATCTAAAGCCACAATGTAACACTTTGAGTCAACCAACATATGACTGACATTTATTGATCACTACATCATTCCCAAACATCCATTTCAGTGTGTATTATTATATAATAGTATTATAATTTGCATTAATTCTTAAAATATTTATTGATTTTTTAATATAATATTTTATATAAATATAATGATTTAAGCTTTTTTTTATTTTTCAGTTTTCATTGATCAATTTAATTTAAGTTTTATTAATTTTATGTGCTTTTTCCATTGTTATTATTTAAAAAATATATATATTTCTATTTGGCTTTATTTACATTTCATTTATTCTAGCATTAGTTATATGCTATTTTAATTTGTATTCATATTTATTCATTTTATATAAATATCGATGTTATACGTTTATTTTAGCATATTTTTAGTTTTCATTTTAAGTTTAGTTTAAGTTTTTAAAAATATATTTCTTTGGCTTTACTTTTATTTCAGTATTTGTATTATTTTTTTTATATTTCTGTTTAGCTTCATTTTTATTTCAGTTTTAGCACTTTAGCTTATTTTATTTCAGTTAGTTGCCAAGGCATCATCTACAATTTTTCATATAACCATATAGCCAACCAAACAGTTGCTGGTACCCATTGACTTCCATTCTATGGGAAAAATACAATGGAGGTCAGTGGCTACCTGCGACTGCTTGGTTATCAACATTCTTCAAAGTAACATTCTTTTTTTTGTTCAACAGAAGAAACTCATAAGTAATTTAATATGAAAATTAAATGCATTTGAAAAGCTTCAGCTTGAGATTTATAGTTATTAAGGCCAGTTTTGCAAAATAGAATACAACAGCATTTTTGAGCAGTTCTCATTTTTGGATGTCAAAACATGGATATTACGGTTACCTAAAATGTTTCACAAAAATTTTCAAAATGAGTATAATTACAGAATCATTACCTAAAATAAATGTTACCTGAAAATATGATTAGATAGATAGATAGATAGAACTATTCTGATTGGTCAGCGATCCACTCCGCTCCACGTCGTGCATAACAACTCCCTTCAGCCAAATAAATGTTACCTGAAATTAATAAATGTTACTTTAATTTTTTTTTTATGTTTTAATATCTCTCTCTCTATATATATATATACACATGCACACACACATATACATAAAAAATTGTGTTACTTAAAATAAATGTAGCAACATTTCTCACTTTTGTTTAACTAAAACTAAATCAACTAAAGCTAATACATAAAAAGTTATAAATACTATAGACATATCACTAAAAATGACAAAAACAATAAAATTATTAAGTTTTAAATTACAGTGCAAACTAAATACAACAATATATTCTAATTCAAAACATTAACAAAAACTGCAATAGTATATCAATGATACTGAAACAACTCCCGTTTTATCAAAATTATAATTATTAATATAATTATTAGATATAAAATATACTATTCAATCTGAATTATGAATGCTGTCTTATCGAATCTAAAAAGGACTGTAAAAAAACAAGTTATTTTTTTATCTTCAAATTAAGCTTAACTGTAATCTTAGCTACATAGTTGCTAATTACATGAAAATAATGTGTAAATGACGTAAATGAAGAAGCCAGAAGACTTACAGCGTGTAATGAAGAGTCTCTGCTGTCGTTCACAGCGGGCCTGTGTTAGCATTAGCGCTAGTGAAGGAGCGAGCCGTGGAACACTGGAGGAACGTCCTGGGCCCCAAAGACCCCATCCAGGCTAAGAATGAGCAACCTGACAGGTAAACTGAGATTTATAATAGTTTGATTTCTTCAGGACATTTCCCTTATTTGCTCAGCTCAGTGTGTTATTGTATATCATATCATGTTTATTTATAATAGATGTGTTTAAATGGTCAGTGGGCTCTTGACCGTTTCTCTGTATGTGGTTCTGATGTAGTCTGCGAGCCCAGTTTTCCTGCGGGAGCTCCAGCATTAATCAGCTTCACGGCAGCGGAAACTCAGAGGAGGCGGAGAGGGAGATCGGCTTCTTCTTCCCACCGGAGGACACACTCACCGTCATCAAACCAGACACCCAACACAAGGGTATCATATCAGCAGTCACCCCGAACACAGACCAAAGAGTGGAGAGGGATATTAGCTCCGTGTTTGAGCTGTATGGTTCAGACTCATGCTTTTAATACAACTAGACCACAGCAGTGCTGACACAATGGCAGAAGACCGAAAGTTTTAGCTTTTGGTGCTGTGTCAGGGAAATAGTGCATCAACACACTGTGCAGAATAAGGCGGCTATGAGTGGTGAAACAGACAGAAAGACATTATATTTACATTTAGTCATTTAGCAGAAGCAAAAAGAAAACAAGTAGATAGAATAGAAAAAAAATAGAAAAAGCTAGTGTTAGAGGCCTTTTTTTAAGAAAACAAGCAGTTTATATATACGAATAGAGAGTGCAAGTGTAAGAGGGTCAAGTCGACATATAGATAAAATAGAATTAGAATAGAGAGTGCTAGAGTTAGAGGGTCAAATAAAGATGGAAGAGATGTGTTTTTAGCCGATTCTTGAAGATGGCTAAGGACTCTGCTGGGATTGAGTTGGGCAGGTCATTCCACCAGGAGGGAACAGTTAGTGAAAAAGTCTGTGAAAGTGATTTTGTGCTTCTTTGAGATGGCACAACAAAGACGTTCACTTACAGAACGCAAGCTTCTAGAGGCACATAAGTCTGAAATAATGAATTTAGATAAAGGGGTGCAGAGCCAGTGGTGGTTTTGTAGGCAAACATTAATGCCTTGAAAGACGAGACAAAATATAATTAAGTATGAACATGTAAGAAACAAGGCAAATTTGGTATGCAAATATGATGCCAGTTACAATTTGAAAGATGAATCAATGCCAATGGGAGATAAAAACAATTTTTTTCCCTTTTTTAAAAGAATAATTTATAAAATGTTTAGAAAAAAAGGTTAATAGATACACTTAACATTAAAATAATTTACAAAACAGTCTGAATGAAGTCTGATTGAATTTATTGTACGAAATATAATAGTTGCGGCTAGAGCTTTTGAACAAAATATCAATACAGCAATGCTTTTCAAACATGTCAAAGCGATAAATACTGAACTGAAAGTGACATGTGGCCAAGTATGGTGACCCATACTAATTCTATACTAGGAATTAGTGCTCTGCATTTATCCCATCCTAAGTGCACACACACAGCAGTGAACACACACACATGCTGCGGCGCCCGGGGAGCAGTTGGGGGTTCGGTGCCTTGCTCAAGGGCACCTCAGTCGTGGTATTGAAGGTGGAAGAGAGCGCTGTACATTCACTCCCCCCACCTACAAGCCCTGCCGGTACGAGACTCGAACCCGCAATCTTTGGGTTACGAGTCCGACTCTCTAACCATTAGGCCACGACTTCCCCCATATACGGCTGAGACTGCTGAAATATAGTGCAAACTGAAAGTTCAAACTGTTTGAGAAAAAATAAAACTTTTTTTGTTTTTGAGAGACATCTCTTCTGCTCACCAAGGCTGCATTTATCTGGTCAAAAATACAGCAAAAATTGTTAAACATTATTCCAATTCAAAATAATAATACTGTAAAATGTAATTTATTCCTGTGATGCAAAGCTGTATCTTCAGCATCATTACTCCAGTCTTCAGTGTCACATGATCCTTCAGAAATCAGTATAATATGCTGATTTGCTGCTCAAGAAACATTTCTGATTGTTATCAATGTTGAAAACAGTTATGCTGCTTCATACTTTTTGTGGAAACGTAATACATTTGATTTCTCAGGATTCACAGAAGAATAGAACGTTCAAAAGTCTTTCGCAACTTTATTAATGTCTTTACTGTCACTTTTGTTCAATTTAATGCGGATTAATAAAACTGTTAATCTCTTGCTTTATTAAAATCTTACTGACCCCAGACTTACAAATGTAGTGTATAGGAAATTAAAATGTAAGAATATTAATAACAAGAAACTCACTGTTTATTTGGCGTGTTTCTGCTCATATCAGAGGAAATCCTGGAGGAGATTCGGGGCAGAGGATTCACCATCTCCCGTCTGAAGGACACGGTTCTGTCCAGAGAGATGGCAGAAGAGTTTTATAAAGAGCATCGGGACAAACCCTTCTTCAGTCAGCTGGTGGATTACATGTGTCAGTGAGTTCACCATTAAATGTGACTTAACTGAACTGGAAGGCTTCATGCAGAACACAGGCAAGATAAATCATGGTTTGTTTCTCTGCAGCGGGCTGTGTACGATGATGGTTCTGACCAAGGAGAACGCGGTGGAGGAGTGGAGGGCGGCCATGGGCCCCACGGACCCCAGTGCGGCAAGACAAGCAGCCCCGGGGTCCCTGAGAGCGCGCTTCGCTAAGGACATGCTGGAGAACGCCGTCCACGGATCCTCCAACACTCAGCACGCACACCAGAAGATACAGTTCCTCTTCAGAGACATCAGCTCTGAGAGCGGGATCATCAACGCCGCTGCTTCTCCTGCGTTAGGTGCCTCCTCCGTCTGTAAAGATACATGTTCAAAACTAAATCTAAAACAAATGTTTTCATCTGGGGATAAAATGCACTTTATATTTACATAATATAACAGGGTTTCTGCAAGTTTTATGAAGGTAAATTTAAGACTTTTTTAACACCAATTAAGGAAAATTTAAGGAATAAACTGAAGGGAACACAATATGTCAATAAAATGTCTATGGAGAACACAATAAGTTACATTACCAGCACTTTAAAGTTTGAAAATCCAACTTCAAACTAATCTCCATTACTTTTTACAAAAAAAAATAGCTGAACTAGAATATGGAAATACCTTTACTTGTATTGTGTGATCATAGGGTAATGTTCTTTCTCAGTATATTTGTCTTGTTTTCCAGTGCAAATGTCTAAAACTTTTTAACATGCAAGAATGACATATGATAAAAAGTCTTGTTTTCTGAGAAATGCATCAAAATGAACTGAGTTTATGTTTAAAAAAGGGACAAATATCTGCCATTGGGCTCAGAAAAATCAACTTAACTCAAAGGGAAAATAAGTTTTCATATCCCATTGGCAGATATTTGTTCTTGTTTTAAACATAAGCTCACTTAATTAACAAAAAAAACAAGACTTCATATAGTAGTTTAGCATCTCAAGTAAATTGGTCTTGATTTAGGGATCTTTAAATATTTGAATTGGAAAATAAAGCAAAAACACTTTTTTTACATTTAATGCCATGACGTTATGAATTCCAATTTGTAGAAGGGCGAATTAACTTTTTAAGTCTATATGTGTGTGTGTATGTATAGATAGATAGATAGATAGATAGATATTTAAGAACAACATTTAATGAATGTCCTGTTATCTACAGAAACAGAGGAGAGCTTTGCAGAGCTCAAGAATCTTCAAGCTTCAAGATCTCCATCATTTGATGACCTGAAGAACCAGACAGAGCCAAGCTCAACAGGTTCAAAACTGAACAAACTAGTCCAAACATATAAACTGTCAATATTTACTCACCCTCCTGTTGCTCCAAACACGTACTCTGATATTTGCCCGTCACTATGAGCTGTCACTGCATAAACAGAATGAACAGGTGGAGAAATGAAACAGAAGATTTAAGGTCAACTGTTCCTTTAAGTCCAGGGTTTCCTAAACTGATTTCCTAAGTTGATGAAAAGCAAATGAAACAGATAATTAAAATAAAAAAAATTGGGCTCCACAATTAATTGAAATAAAACTGAAATCATGATATGTCACATGTAAACACAAAAGTCAGCATTACCCTTCTTTTCCACACCTAGAAGGAGCTGAAGAAATAAAGCCTGAGATGACAGAGAGTCACCCAGCATCCTCTGATGAGACTAGAGACGCTAGACTCACTAGAGACGCACACATCCAGCCCGCAGGACGCAGGTCTTTATCTCAATGACTAGTGATGCACAAGTCAAGAACAAGTTTATACACTGATCACAGACATGAGACAACATCTGTTTCCACTTTGGACATTAATGGTCAGATATTAAGGGAACATTTATAAAATCAAAGTCAGCCTTCATCTTGAAGGTCCATATTTCAGCAATCACAGGCTCTGGTGAGTTTTTATGATCCTACACTCTAAAAAATGCTGGGTTGTTTTAACCCAACTTTAGGTCAAATATGGACTAACCCAACTGTTGGGTTAAATGTTTCAATGACATTTTTAACCCAAAAGTTGGGTTAGCCCATATTTGACCTAAAGTTGGGTTAAAACAAACCACCATTTTTTAGAGTGTAGGTAATTATTAGGGGTGGGAATCTTTAGGCATTTCACGATCCGATTCCGATTCTGGGAGTCACGATCCGATTCCAAAACAATTCTTGATCTACATTCTTTCCTAATTAATTCTTCTGCTGTGCAAATACATCTTTACAACTTTACATTTTAACCAAAATTTTATATCAAATTAAATTTTTGCAAAATTTACATTATTTTTTATTATTTAAGCAGACTACCTTTTAAAACAATTACTTATATAAAATTTGTGTTCTATAAGTATCTGAAAGTTTACAGACAATAGGCTAGTTATGGGGTTTTCTTTTTTTCCTCAGCAGTATTGCCATTTGATTATTATTGATGTGATCATAGACAGTGGCATCTATAGATGCCTCAAACACCATTGTTTCCTCCTTCTTATGTAAATCTCGGCCACGCAATATAGAAACGGTTATGTACATTGGTGTAGGGAGGGGGGGGGGGGGGGGGTGACAGCACACACTGTCAAGCACTGTCAAGCACTGTGCACGTGTCTCACAGTGCAAATTCTGTGCAATGAAGCCCGCCGTGTCTCTAACGCGCACACGTGCCAACCAAAAACCAAGCTCAGAATCGTCGAAGAGAGAATCGCGATGAATCAGAGAATCAATTTTTTTCTCCCACCCCTAGCAATTATGCTACTTTTTTTTTGTTGAATCTATAATACAGGACACATTAGTCGAGTCACCCATTGTAAAGGAACAGATTTTCAGATCATTTCACTCATTTTAAATAGGTCCTCTATTAATAGCTATCAAAACCAGAAAACACAATGACTTGTGCATTTTAATACACAAATGAATGTGATCAGATTTTCTTCAGTAGATGGAGTATTTTCTCTGGTGGTTTTGATGCATTGAGGTAAAACTGAAAAAAAATGTCTTAAGATTGAATCTTAAGTCTTAAGATTCAGTGATCTGTTAGACAACGGTAACAGAAGAATTAACAGCAACAAAAAACATAACATTAATCACACAAAATCTGTGACGTTAAACTGGAATTATAAATAAACTTTAAAGTTTGTCTTCTGTATTTCAGGGGATCAGGAAAATTTATGAAATCTGTGCAATCATCTGTCAAAGAAGAAGACAGGAAAAGGTGAGGTTACATGATTACATCAAAACATTCATATTATATTATATTTAAACAGGCTTATTATTGGTAACTGAAATTAATGGAAAAACATTTTCATTACTTTAAATAAAGATTAATTGAAATAAAATATAAAACATTTTCAACTCATTTTATTTCAGCTAGTCGCCAATTTAGTTGTGATGTTCGGTTCTTGAACGAATCGTTCTTTTGAGCCGGTTCTCAGGAAGTAACCGGTTGAGCCGGTTCACAAATCGAACTGAATCGAACTTTAGTTCCGGGTTGATGACACAGGACGCACAGCCGAAGTAGCACGTCCAACTCGGTTCTTGTTGAGTCCTTGGTAACTCTCTGCAAACTTCGGCTCATTCGGTTCTTGTTGAGTCCTCGTAACTGTCGGCAAAATTCGGCTCATTCGGTTCTTGTTGAATCCTCGGTAACTCTTGGCAAACTTCGGCTCATTCGGTTCTTGTTGAGTCCTCGGTAACTCTC